GATCCTGGGGGAAAACTTCCTTTTTTTTGGGGGGGGGGCCTGAACATTGTCTCCATTTCTCCCTCTCTGATTCAGGCTCTTGCTATAGTATTTGAATTGAGCATCTGCCTTTCTTTTCCTAGATGAAGCTATTATATATCCACTATTGTTGAGTTTGGGCTTTTTTTTCCCCTGAAAGCAGTCAAAGATGAAAATCTCAGGTTAAGAATAGATTATCTATTAAATATGCACCTTTTGCTTATAGGAAGTCTTGCCTGCTGGGGCCTGACGTACAGTTTTGTGAATCACCTCCAGGTTGGACGCTGGACCAAACTTGTTCAGGTCTGTACCATGACAAGGCATTTACATGTCCTGGACTGAGTCTGAATATTCCTCCACACCAGACCCCTGCATTTGAAAACTGTCCCCCTTCCCCCTGTGTGTAGCAGCATTCTGGAGGCCTTGAGCCTTTACTATAAACACATTAAACAAAATAAATATGTGTGTTATCATGGAGAGCATAATTTTCTGGCATTAAAAATGTGCATTTCTAAAAAGGTACTATTACAAATATCCCTTGTTGTGCTCCTCCTGGTGTCCCGCGCTGTAGGAAGCTATCTCCCTTGCCTACCACCAGTCCCAACTGTGCTTCAGGCTCTATGTCTATTTTCCATTTAGATTGAGTTGGGTAACTGAGCAACATGATATCAGGAATAGTGGGGAATCTGAAACCAAATGTGCACTGGTTCTTTCTTCAAAAAAGCTTTGGTATTACTTTTATGGCCCTGGGACCAGGCACAAAATGTCTTCCCTAAGTCTTGTTAGATATGATAGGTAAGAATGATCTTGGCAGGAACTCCCAAATTGTTGGCTTGAAGGAGAACCCAATTATAATGACTCTACTACTACTGACGACATTCTCAGTCCGCAAGAGCTTGAGAAGAAACAGAGCTGAAACTTCCTCCAGAGTGAGCAGACCAAAAGGAGTTCTCTGAAACCAGGATGTAAAAATGCGAGGTGATGCACTACAGCATTCTTTTAAAGTTTCTAGATATTTTCTTTTATTGCCTACCTCCATGGGAAGACAGGGATAAAACATGTTCTTTACAGATTTCAAAGTTGTTTAACTTAAGAGCTAATACAACACTCTCTCAATAGTACTTAAAAACTCTGAAGGGGACTGGGTTTGAATTCGGCTCTGCTATTTATTATCTTAGAGGCAGGTTATTCAACTTCTGAGCCTAGTTTTCTCATCTGCAAAATAAACAGACTGGACTGGATGACCTTCAAGGTCCCTACCAGCTCGAATCATGGACTTTTGAGAGTGGGAAGGACCTTCAGCAATAGATCCAAAGAATGGCCAAAAAACAGACCCAACAATTGCATCAAGACCTTTGTTTGAAGACCTCCAAGGCAGAGGAGCTACCACCTCTCCAAATATCCCATACTAGTAGTGGACAGCTCTAATGGTTAGCAGCTTTTCCCAACACCAATCTTCCACTGGCTTCTTTGTTACCACTGCTCCTGGTACTGCCTTCTGGGGCCAAAGAGAAGAAGTCTAATCCCTCTTCCATATGACGGTATTTCCAACACTTGAAGCTAGCTATCATGGCCCCCACCCGACAATGAAGCTTCTCTTCTCCAGGATAATCATGCCCAGGGACTTCAACCCAATCTTCACAGGATGGGGTCTCAAGTTCCTGCAACTTCTGGTTGCTTTTCTCTGCATACTCTCCAGCTTATCAAGCTCCTTCTTAAACTGAAGTCCCCAGAACTGAATGAAATACTCCAGATGAAGTCTCAGATGGCAGCAAACAACAGGATTATCACTTCCAATATGCCAAGAATATTCCTTAGTCTTGGAAGTCATTGCCCTTTTAATACAGCCCAGAATTGAATTTGCTCCAAATTCTATGAAACCAATCAAATGGATGCGCTGGCAATGATGCTATATGGGCCCTCTGCCTTTGAGGGCAACTATGTGGTACAGTGGATAAGAGCACTGGCCTTAGCATTAAGAAGACTCATCTTCATGAGTTCAAATCCATTCTCAGACACTTACTAGCTTTGCGACCCTGCATAAGTTATTTAGCCCTGTTTGCCTCAGTTTCTTCATCTGTAAAATGAGCTGAAGAAGGAAATGGCAAACCACTCCAGTATCTTTGCCCAAGAAAACCCCAAATGGGGTCATGAAGAGTCAGACCTGAATAAATAACTTCTGCCTTTGAATCTTAAAGGCTCTCTTTTCTTAAACTTCTCACTTTATGAAGAGTACGATCTGAGGACAACTCACTGAAAGACAACTGGCTGAATCCTTATTAACAAATATCTACATTAATTATAACTTGTATTTATGCGGTGCTTTAAAGTGAACAAAGAACTTTTCTTACAACAAGCTTCTGAGATAGACACTGCCCTCTTTTGCCTCAGAGAGGTTAAGAGTGGGACTTGAGCATGATCACACAACTAGTAAGTGTCAGAGACAGTATCATAAAACTTAATACTTGAGACGACTTAGAGGTCATCTTGTCCTCAATTCACAGGAGGGAAACTGAGTGCCAAAAAGACTTACCCAGAATTCTAAGTTTAGATCAAATCTCCTGATCCCAAGTCTAGCACTCCACAGTCTACTACAAGACAGAAATGGACTAGCAAGAAGGCAGAGTATGTTTCATTTGGGAGAAGGGAATGGAAGAAGTGAGGCTGGGGAAAAAAGGGAAAAGAGAAGATAAACTGTTTTAAAAAAGAAAAAGGTGAAATGTCCTCTGCCATTCAAAGCCCAGCTCAAACCAACTACTTTTTACTCACAAAACATTATTACATACTTGGGCTACAAAGAAGTGCTTTGCTCCAAAAGGAATTTTAATTGTATAGTCTATGACCATGCCCTATCCTGATGATCTGCTGTTGTGAAATTTTGACTTTGCTCAACATAAGCAGGCGGTCTATCCTCACCTAAAGCATTTTTATGGAAACAAAATCACACATACAAACACTCAAAAATGTTTTCCTTACAAAGTTTCTCCACCAAGGACGAAGGAAGGTTGACATTGATACTGATTGGCAATGAAATAGCAGAGCTTGGAAAGCAACGCAACTTATGTGGTAGTCAAATATAACCAGATATGCATATTCATAGCAAGTTTCTTTAAACTCACAGGTTCATCTGTAGTCATCCTGATCTATATCTTGACACTGGACCCAGATGGCTCCAGAGGAAAGAGTGAGGCTTTGCACAGCCCTTCCTCACTCAAATCCAACGTCACTCCCCTGATGTCACAGTCCTCTTGGAGAACGAAGGATGAACACAACCACAACAACTTTACACTCACTACTCAGAATCCCAAACGCAATGTCTGAACTTTCAATTTGTCTGTGATAATAACTCTATTTTTTATTTACCTCTTCTCTCTCCCCCAACTCTTTTCTTCCTTTAAGGAAGATAGAACAGGCAGAGTTTCATTGACACCAATTTTTCTGTTCTCAACATTGAACTCTCCTGATGTTACATGGTTGGAAAGAATTTTTTAAAGATTTGCTTACTGCAATCAAGGCTTTTCCTAACCAGCAGCAATCTACTAATGTCAACAGTACCTAAGCTAAAGAAAGCACATCCCTTTTTCTCACTTTAATTTTCCATATCAAAAAGTCCATAGAATAAATGTGGGATGGACAGCAATGATGGACGAAGTAAGAACCTTGGAGGTTTCTAAAACTCTGACAAGGACTTTCTTCTGTCTTCTACTAATGCAACCAAAAGATGTTCCCTCTTCAAGAACCAAATACGTCTTAGATTAGAAACATATGAAACTGAGGTTATTAATATAATTTCCACTAATTTCTACCTCATAAAAGGGCCCTTGATTTGTTATGCTTTCTTTCATTGTAAATCTTCTGAGTTTATTTTGTTGGAAAGTATTTTTTCAAGTTTTGCTTATTGCAATCAAGACTTTTCCCAACCAACAGTAATTTACTAATGTTAACAGCACATAAAGAAAGCTAAAGAAACACATCCCCCCCACACTCCCCTCACCTTAACTTTTCCATATCAAAAAGCTTGTAGAGTGAATGTGGGATGGACTGCTATGATGGACAAGGTTAAGACCCTCAGGGTTCTAAAACTGTAAAGAGGACTTTTTTCTGTCTTCTACTAATGCAACCATAAGACGTCCCCTCTTCAAGAACTAAATATGCCTTAGATTAGAAACATATGAAACTGAGGTTATTAATATAATTTCTACTAATTTCTACCTCACAGAAGGGCCCTTGACTTGTTATGCTTTCTTTCACTGAAAATCAGAATTGAGAAATCCTGGCAAAGCAGTTTTATTAGACACGTCTCTGCACAAACAGCCCTTTCAAACCTGAAGAAACATAGAGCAAAGAAAGACTAACTTTCCTTCCAAGATGATTCTTAGGCAATTACGTCACAAGTTTTGAACCAAATTTCCAATTTGCCCCCTCTGAGTAGCCATAGCAGCATATGCCTAAATCTTCAGTGATGAAATATTGGACTCTCTCAAGACTGCCACTGGTAACCGAAATCCACAACCATTCATACTAAGCTACCCAACGCTTTCCTTCCTCTCCCAACCCCCGAGGATAGTGAACTAGTAATGGATGTCTGTTGAAGTGATTAGGATATTGGGGGGGGGGGTTGGGGGGAGGTTTCAGTTTGATTCTCCAAAAAAGCTGGGGTGTTGCTGTCGGAAAGCTCCTGTTTCAAATGTGAGTGTATTAGTGTCGGGCAGTAAGTAAAAGGAAAGGCATTTTTCAGTAAGCTGGAATGTGCGTTTGAAGGAGGGTGATCTCTGGCTTTATGCTGGGGGCTTTCTTTTCTAAACATATGAATGTAGATGGGGTATAAAGGAAGGAGAGGGCACAAGAGGAGGAGAAGGATCTCTTAGTAGCCCCCCGGAGGTTGAAAGTGACGGTGGGGAGGCCCCATCGACCCTGCCAGAGACTCTCCTTCTAGTGCTGTCCCGTCTCCCTTCACACTGTCACATGAGGAAGTCACTCACCACCCGTGAGCTGTGCAGGGCCAAAGCACAGCGCTAGCTGAAACCACAAAACCACTGCGAAGAGTCTCGGGGGGAACTGATGCTGGGGCTGCTGCTGCTGCTGCTGCTGCTGCTGCTGCTCTAGAAATGCATCTCCACTGCTCGGGTTCATTCCATGATACATCTTTTATCCACAGAGGGCATCAGGTTTGCAAGAGTCTGAAACAAGAGGCGGAATACAAAAATACCCCGAGCTCGTTCAGGGCACTCTCCTCTCCAGCTCCCGCTAAGCCGGAGCGCCCCCTTTCCATGCTCAGCACCCTGGGCCCTCCCCATCCCCACTTCATCCTATCTCACCCCCTCTTTCCATTGTGCAATAACGACACTCACTGAGGTCCGGAGAGTGCCAATCTCTGGGATGCTCTTGTAGCGAAAGAGTAATGGAGGTGTGGGAGGGCAGGGATTTAAGGCAAATCTGTGTTGCACCGGTCTCTGCAATTCAGCAGTTACGACCATGCCAGGAAAGTATGCAGCTTCTCACGGTCTCCTGGCTAACACGATACTTTTTTTCTTCCCCCTTTAGGCCTATACATTTCACTCTTAAGAACATCCCAGTGTGGCCCTGGATTCCTGCAGCTAGTTCTCAGTTTATTTCCCTCCCAGGGATCAGAATGTGTCCTACTGCACAGTCTTCAGGAGATGTCCCCCGCGCTGTCACATTCAGCCGGGGGCTAGGGGGTTGGGGGGCGGTGTTACCAAAACACTGACTCTTTCCCTCCGCACGCCCCTTCTCCCGTATGGGGATGCCCTTTTCTGCCTGGAAATCTTACCTGTGGGTTTCATGCACGCAGCTCTCCTTCCCCCCTCCTCCTCCTGCACCTACTCCTCCTCCTCCTCCTCCTCTTCCTCCTCCCCCCCAAGCTTAACCCGCATCTGTACACGACCTCTGCCGCTGCGCGAGCGAGAGGAAAGCCGCAGCAGCAGCAGCAGCAGCTCCAACCTTCCCCCCCACCCCGACCGCCCCTTCTTTTCCCTCCCCGCTTCCCCCAAGCCCGCACAAGAGGGAATGACAAACACAGCGCGCACCCGAGGCGCTCGCGCTCCCCCATACCTGTGTCCGCGAGCGCGCGGCGGCAGCAGAGACAGAGGAAGATGTACCCAGTCTGGGGCAGAGGGGCGGGGGAGTTGGAACCTGAGGAGGACGGACACGCGCCGTCCTCCTGCCCCCTCTTCCCCTCCCCTCCTCGGGCGCGTGCACACGTACCCACAGTCGGAACTGGAGCTGGAGCAGGAGCAGGAGCTGCAGCGGGGGCGGGAGGGTCGCAGCCCGGGACCAATGGGAAGGCTGCGCGCCTGCACCTGTCCTGTGCACTCGCCGCTTTTCCGCCGCTCCCACACACGTGTGCTGCCTCCACTCCCCCCCACCCATCCTCTCCCTCTTCCCCGCCCCTGGCTGCGCGCGTGCTTAAGTGCCAGCCGCGGGTGCAGCCGCCGCTGCCACTACCTAGCGTACTCTGGTGCCCCCAGTGCACAGCTCTGGAGGGAGGGAGATTTCTTGCACCACATCAAACCCTCTCGCTCCTATCCCATGCCCATTCCGTGGAGCCTTGCCCTCAGCACGGTTAACTTCTTTAAATTAAAGGAGGGGAAGAAAAGAAAAATATACATAAGTCTTTCTTCTCTCTCTTCCTGTCATTCCCCTAGCCTTTAGCAAACAACCAGAAGGTAAATGCACCACTAGGGTGGGAGTGGAGGGCGAGGAAGGGGGAGAGCGGCAGAGGTAGCTCACCACCCTGATGGATGGAGCCTATTCTGGCAAGGGAACCAGGAGTGCTTTCCACGCTGCTTTCTCTTAGCCTAGTGCCGACTTCCCCTTTTCACCAGGCAACTACTTTGGAGGAGAGAAGGGGAGTATTGAGTTCTGAGTACTGAGAGAAAGGGAGAGAAAGTAGTGAGGTGCTCTGGGCCACCGGGTGAAGGCCCACCAGGCTTTGCAGCTCTGGAATGGAGGGTTTGCAGGAAGGGCTCAACAGGGGCCGGCTCTCTTTCCAAAGTGTGGTGAAAATTAGGTAAATCTGCTGGACTGTGTACCTAGCCGGGCAGGGAAGGTCTGGCCTCCTCTACTAGCTCTGGATGTCACAGACTTCATGCGCTTTCTACCCGCACTCAACACCAAGCCAGCTGGAGACTGTTTGTAGTTTCAATCAGTGCCAATTTTGTCACCCTAGTTCATTTCACTCACACTACCTTCCCTGTGGATGTAGCACCTTCCAGTGGATATTGTGCTCCCTTACTCCAAAGACTATCATTCTGAACTGCCCTCTTGTTTTTCAGCAAGGTGAGTGAAAAAGAGAGTGGGGATGTGCAGTAGCAGAAAGAACCCTTGACATAGAATCAGATCTGGGTTCAAATTTTGCCTCATATGCCTGGGCAAGTCTTTTAATTCTCTGAGCCTCAGTTTCCTCATCTCTAAAATGAGGAGTTTGTATTCACTGACCTTTCAATTCCTTCCAACACTGTCTACTATCCTAGAAATCTGAGGACTTTTTTTTCCACCCTCTGGCCTCAACCGGGAAATAGTAAAATATAATTTGGAGGGAATTGTAATCTTTTTTGCAGGATAAAGTGCAAGAATTGAGGCGATCATTTCAACAAATATTTATTTAACCTTTGCTCTGTCCAAAGCAGCGCACTAAAAGCTAGGAATACAAAGCTTGCCCTGGGGTAACAGGAGTGAGGTGGAAGTTTTAGATTACCTTACCTTTTTATCTGAAGAAAATTGTTGAATAAATGAAACCTACTGTCAATGTAATACTGTGGAGTATTCTAAAGTTTCTTGATATTTACAAAATTACAATTTTCCTACTTTAGATCTTATTTGTCAATCAGTCTGGTTATGGGCTAAGAATAATTTTCAGAACTCTTTAAAATATTCTACCTTTTTAGAAATTCTATAATGAATAATATAGCCATCCTACCAGACTTTTTTTTATCACAAAATAGAATTAATACCTTTGAATAAAAGAAGATAAAAATGATGGCTCCCGAAGAACAAATACAATTTCGCTATTTCAGAATCTCCTTGGCCATAGTTAGGTTTTGCATGCATGTAAAAATAAACGTAAAAACATTTAGTAAGGGTTTATTATGTGCCAAGCAACTGGGCTCAGCCCTAGGTATACAAATAGAAAGGGCAGTCAGCCCCTGCTCTCAAAGAGCTCTTATTCAAACTGGGGGAAGCAACTCACCTAGGAATGTTTTGCAGCAAGTCAGATGGCAACACCTGAAGGTCTGGAGAACAGCGAAGCAGGACAAACAGTAAAATCTGTGGTCCTTAAGGTACTGTGGCAGGGCAGAGGGTAAGTGATCTATCATCATACTAGAAGCTTTGTCACTGGAATCCCTGTTCATCCAAGCAGTATGAACAGGGTTTCTTCCTTTTGGGAGAGGGACTAAGGGAAGGTCAGCATCAAGGGGGAAGGGGGGCTGGGAATATGGCATCTAGAAAGGAGGAAAGAAAGGAGCATTGGCAGGAAGACTGGGGAGAAGAGCTCTTCATAGCACCCGTTCCTGCTGGGTCCTCTGGTTAATAAGACCTGCACATGTGATTGACAAATTCAAATTCTCATTTGCCCCAATTCTTTCCTCATCTTGAGGGCTGTTTCAGTATTTTCTTCCAGCCTCCTATTTCTTGCTCCCTAGTACTTACACTTAAATTGATCTGATATCTTGGACTGTATCCTTAAGATCAACCCTCACATATCAACACAAACCCCTGAGCAGTATAGTGGACAGGGCATTAATCTTGTAGTTCTGAATTCAAATCCCACCTGTGTAACCCTGGTCAAGTCATTTTGTTGCTCTGTGCCTCAGTTTCTTCATCTGTAAAATGAGGGACTTTGATTCAAGTAGCTTCTAAGGTCCCTTCCAGCTCTAATTATATGATCCTTCGATCCCTGGTGATCTCTACAATGGAACACTACTGGTTCATAATCTGTAAAAGGAGAGAACATCCCTGTCACTCATTTCCTAAGAGGGGGAAGCCAAAGTGGTGGAGAAAAGGCAGCAGCTCACCTGAGCTCTCCCAAAACCCCTCCACACACCTTTAAATAATGCCATAAAGCAATTCCTGGAGCAGCAGAACCCACAAAAGGACAGGGTGAAATAATATTCAGGCCAAAGACTACTTAGATGGTCAGCAAGAAAGGTCCGTTACACCCAGGTGAGAACGTAGTACATTTCAGTGAAGGCTGTACCAGCCCCAGCAAACCAGGAGCAGGCCTTGGGAGACACTGAATCAGTAGTGGCAGTAACAGGTTCAAAAAACTGATCAGAAGGAGAGTACAGCAGTCTTTCTGCTGGCACTAGGGGCAGGACTCAGTTGCTTTGCCCGTACTTAGATCTGAGTCACAGTATTGGGTGGCAGTCCCAGGGCAAGGAGGAGAGCTAGCATAGCAGAGCTTGTGGCCACAGTGGAGCAGGAACCTCATCACAGTTTCAGGGCAGAAAACAGTGCTTGTTGGTCACATACAGACCAGAGCACAGACCAGGAGAGCAGTAGACTCCTTTCCTTAGATCATAACACCTTGGAAGAATTGAAAACTTACAGGTTCCTAGAAGTATCTCGAAAGTAGCTGCATAAAACCCCTGAAGTTTGGAACAATGCACCCTCCACGCTGAACACAGATCCCCACTTTAAAAAAGAGTTAAAAATCAAGAAATGGACTGGAAAAATGAACAAACAGTAGAAAGAAATTCTGATCACAGAAAGTTACTATGGTGACAAAGGAAGATCAAAACACACCCTCAGAAGAAGATAACAAAGTCAAAAATCCAAAATCCAAAGCCTCTAAAAAATTTGAATTGGTCTCAGGTCATGGAAGAGCTCAAAAAAGATTCTGAAAAGTAGTAAGAGTAAGAAAAGAGTAAGAGAGGTAGAGGAAAAATTGGGAGGAGAAATGATAGTGATGCAAAAAAAATGAAAAATGAAACAATAGCTTGGTAAAGGAGATACAAAAATATACTGAAGAAAATAACACTTTAAAAACAGAATAGGCCAAATGGTAAAAGAGGTACAAAAGCTCACTGAAGAAAATAATTCCTCAAAAATTAGAGTTGAGCAAATGGAGGCTAATGACTTTATGAAAAATCAAGAAACAATGAAACAAAACCAAAAGAATGAAAAAATAGAAGACAATGTGAAATATCTCACTGGAAAAACAACTGACGTGGAAAACAAATCCAGGAGAGATAATGTTAAAATTATTGGATTACCTGAAAGCTATGACCAAAAAAAGAGCCTAAACATCATCTTTCAAGAGATCATCCAGAAAAACTACCCCAATATTCTAGAACCAGAGGATTAAATAGAAATTGAAAGAATCCACCAATCACCTCCTGAAAGAGATCCCAAAATGAAAACTCCCAGGAATATTATAGCAAGGATTACAATGAAGAGTCACCTACCCAGAAAAACTGAGTATAATCCTACAAGGGAAAAAAATAAGTATTTAATGAAATAAAGAACTTTCAAGCACTCTTGGTGAAAAGACTAGAGCTGAATAGAAAATTTGATTTTCAAATACAAGACTCAAGAGAAGCATAAAAGGTAAACAGAAATGGGAAATTATGAGGGGCTTAATAAGATTAAACTATTTACATTCCTACTTGGGAAAATGTTACTTGTAACTCATAAAAACCTTCTCATCATTAGGGCACTTAGGAGTATGTATAGACAGAGGGTGCAGATGTGAGATGAATTTGAAGGGATGATATCTAAAAAAATAAAATTAAGGGATGAGAAAGAAGAATGCACAGGGAGGAAGGGAAGGGTAGAACGGGCTAAATTATCTCACATAAAGAGGCAAGAAAAAGTGTTTCCAGTGAAGGGGATAATGGTTGGGGGGAGTGAATGAACCTTTCTCTCATCAGAATTGGCTCAAAGAAGGAATAACACAGACTCACTTGGGTAAAGAAATCTATCTGACCCTACAAGAAAGCAGGAGAGGAAGGGGATAAGAGAAGGGAATGACGGTGTGATAGAAGGGATGGCATAAAGGGAGGCAGTAGGCAGAAGCAAAACATTTTTGAGGAGGGACAGGGTGAAAGGAGAGAGAGAATAGAATAAAGGAGGGGGGATAGGATGGAGGGAAATATATTTAGCAATTGTAACTGTGAAAAAAAATTGAAGCAAGTTTCTCTGATAAAGGCCTCATTTCTCAAATGAGAACTGAGTCAGATTCATAAAAATAAGAACCA